ACAACTTGGAAGAATAATGATAACACAATAATCATAGTCGATATATCATTTTATTCGAGTCGCTGGATAGCCCAGGACCTCGCCTCATCTGTACGCTTGCGAGCCTCTTCCTCCGGCCCAAGGCTTACCCGGACCCTAGGTGTCCTTCCTCTGGGTTGATGTTAAGGAACTTAAATTAAGTTACCATAATGGGTATATATAGTAAATAAGAGGGTTTCCCCAATATAGTAACTTAATTTAAGTTCCTTAACAGCAACCCAGTCCTTCAGTGGTTCTGTCCTACTTGCTCGGTTTAGGGCTAGGGGTTCAAGGTCTTTTTTGATAAACCCTGTAACTGTAAGCCCAAATGGGAGGACATCCAGTTCCACTTCAGAGAATGGGGGTGGGGGGTGGGACGTGCCTTTGATGCCCAGGTTTACTGGGTTGCTGTTGTGGAACTTAATGTAAGTTACCATAACATGGGTACATAGTAGATTATAGGGCTTACTCATTATGTAAATGTATTTTAATTTCATTAAAACAGCCCAGTTTAACCATCTGCAGGATACCCAACAGCAAGAAACAAAAAGTCTTTGCAGCCGAGACTGGAAGGAGCCTTCCCACCTCTTCACACACTGTGACAACTGTAAGTACTGATTTGATAGTGGTTTCGTGTTTGCTGTCGCCGTGATGCATATGGCATATGCTAGCGGTTCTTCTTGTGAGATACTATAGTATATAATATACTCTAAAATTCCATAATTACCATAATATAATAATATATATATAATATATAGCATAATATACCATAACATGGTTCCTCTTTAGTTCCTCTTCCTCTTCCACGGTCTCTCTTCCTCTTCCTCCTGTTCTTCCGCCTCCTCCTTCATTGTGTCAACCGCATGCTCCTGTGAACCTTGGTGCCTATTGAAGCTGTTGGGGCCCTCCTAGTAAAGATCCTGGCTTAGAACCTATACACCATCCTCTAGATCGTAAGGGTCCTCAGAGATCAGCGTGGCTCCGCAATGTCTGAAAGTCTTCTTGTCGACGGCGCAGAGGTGGTGGATGCCCTTACATGTGCTTCGGATGGTCATAAATCTAGGCAGTAGACGTTGCATTTCCGCGAACAATGCTGATAAAATCCGTCGAAGCGCAGAACCTCAAGCGCTTCCTGCACTAGGGCCACTAGGGAACCATGCTACAGCAGCAAACTAAATATATCTGGGGAGTCGATAAAACCCTCGCTGAAAACCCCATGTGTTGAAGTTTGGTTCAAGTCAGCGCCTTCTTTGTTCTGGCATAAGCCTTCTCGCACTGCTCGACTGCGAAGTCCTGAGGCATCAGGGCACGTTCATCAATACCACTTCTTATGCCAATACCTGAAAGCACAGAGTGACAAGCATGTACTGGGCCGAGTACAAAACCTAACACAACAGCAAATAGGAAATTGCACGAAATCAAGCAGGATTTTGCTTCCACGAGAACTAGCAGCCCTTTCGAATATGTCGTCTTAATCCTTACTTTCCTCAATCATAAAAGGATCGTCATGACCGGGATCCTACCTTGAAGACGCCAAAAGGGAAACCCTCTCCAAAGGCCTCACAAAAGGCACTGCCCAGAGGGTAGCGCCCAAGAGCGCAGCTTGTTAGCGGCGCAGCCTTCAGCCAGCTTCAACGAAATCTTGGACTCGTTCTTTCCAAGTATGTATGGGTTTCGAACGTGAGGTGTGTTTAAAGCCTTTATGTGAGTTCCCACAATAGGAATTCTTCCCCCCCCCTACTTCGGAGACCCCGCTACAGGGATCTCCAGTCCCTACGAACCAACAGCGAATTTCGAGTGCAGGATGAAGTACACGGGAGTATGTAGCTTGCAAGGCGGGGCAGAATCAAGGCCTTGTACTGCATATGAAAGATGCGATTTGGCAGACAAGTTTCTACGAGTTTCAGAGCCGTTGAAAACTTTCTATGATTTGCATCACGATCCATGCTAGGGTGTTGTACGGGATGCCAACGGTTGGCCTCGGCATCCATCACGTAGGTTTTACCGTTCTAGGGTCATCAGAAGGTGAGTCCTGCGAAGCTCTTGCATGTTGTTGCTAACGTTAACCCTGCGCGAGACCGTCAGTGAAGAATAAGCAAGCAAATATACATTCATGCACGGATGCGCCTCGCTGCCTCCCACACCATCACCCTTCACTTCGAGCATGGAGTCGTTGGCGGTGTCCTGCTGGGCTTCATGGTCTACCCTAGAACCCTTATGTCATCACTAACTAACCCCTAACTAGCTCTATATGAGTACGCGGCCTATACAAAGCCATCTAATATAAACCCATGTAGTCCTCATGTAACAACTATTTAGGTGTTACTTCGGGATTATCTAGGGATTATTCAGGTGTTACAGGGGTTATATAGGGGTGCCGGGATTATGTAGGGATTACCGCCTCTCCTCTTCGTATCCGACGCTGACGCCTTCGACAACTTCCTTTCAGGGCATGCGTTGTTTTTGATGCTGCACTTAGCTCCCAGCTAGGCGTGTCACCCGTGCCACAGTATAGATAATTGCAGTCTGACAGCCCCTGCATCCCATGATTTCGTCCATCTTCGGCAAACCTTGGGCCAAACTGCCAAAACCCGAAGCCTCAGGCGGCTGGCATGGATGGCCGCGCCGGCAGGCTGGCTCGAACTCCGCCCAGCCTTGCCCACGGATTCAGGATGTCGTTACTGGCCTAGGGTTTGGGGGTCTAGCTAGGGTTTGGGTTTAGGCGCTTTTTTGGCTGAGGGAGCAGGGCGAACTTACAGGCCTGCAACAAAGCAAAAAACAACAGGATACATAATTTCAATGACAGCTTAACGGTTTATGATTTCTTGCAGTCCGTTGCACAAGCCGCTTGCAGATGTGCACCTTTAGTTCCAAGACCGGCAGGGAACCCTTTGAAGACCATATGTACCTTCCAAGAACTCACATAGTCCAAAAGTCCAAAAACTATGATGGTACGGATGTTCCTGCAAATTCGGCTCACCCTGAAAGGGTAAGGATCCCTGTGACAAAAAAGGTCCTGTGAATTTCAGAAAACCCTCAAGGTATGAACGGGGCTTTTCCAAACTTTGGTGTTGCCTCTTTGGGAGTCCCCATAAACAAGGATCATAATATTTCGGGGTCTAATATTTGGATCCCCTAAATCTTAATCCCTTTTCCATCTGGGCCTTTTTTGCGAAACCGAAAACTACTACACACCTTCCTGAGGTCGCAACCTCGGACCGGATCTTCGCAATGACCTGGGGCGGCGAGATCAAGGGCCCTGTGAGTCTTTTTGGCCTAGGGTTTAAGGGTTGAGGGTTTAGGCTTTTGATTACCGGGATGTTGGCAACCCATCAATGTGCACCAGTCGTCTTCTCCCTCAAAAAGGGTGCACTTGTTGGGCATGCGCGGCTGGAGACCACCCCTGCTGACTGCAGTCCAAAACAACTCCCAAGGAAACGATTCCACGTCTCCGAGGTGCTAGCTTATAAACCAGAAGCAGAGCATGCTTCAAGATCAAGACGACACTAGAAAACGATGGAATTGGAAGTCAGTTGGGGGCCCAGCACACCAAGCGCCCCCGATCGCAAAGGACTGCTGGGATGCGGCCTGCTAAGCAAACACCACACATCTGCAGAAGTACTTGTCGAAGCGGACTCACAAAGATGAACCATGGCAAAAAATCCAGCTTCTGTGATTGGAAGTCCGCAGTTCACCTTGCCAGACACCTGTCGCAAAGTGCAGCCAAGGGGTGGCCTCCAAGGCTCCACACGTAGACCATGCCGACCTAGCATGCCCAAAACCATGGGCTGTCTATTGGGTTTATATAGGGACAATGGAAAAGTGGAAATTACTGTGATTATTTTGTACTGGGGTATATATTGGAATTGTATATAGGGAAGATGGAGAAGAAAATGGCAACTACCACACAGGCCCGTGTCTCTTCTGAAGCTCCGACGCACCGACTGGTCTGTAGTCACCCTTGTATACCCCCAAAAGCCATTGCCCTTGTTACAACGATTCTCCAGAAGGTGCCCCCACTCATGAAAACTCACACACTCCTTGCATTTTTTATAGAACCCCAAGATATACCCTAATATAAAGTAGTTTCCATTTCTTATCCCTGTATAACCCTCATAAACGATACCCATGATCTTGCTTCGGAGGCCTGCCGAGTGCTGCCATCTTCATAGCCTCAGCTGTTTGTGCTAAGGCTCTGAGCTTCCAGTACTTGCCCAGTCCAGTCAAGTTAGGTAGGCAGATCCAGAAACCTGATCTCTACCAGGGCTGAGGCTGCAGTCTTGAACCTGCTTCAGCAGCGGTAGAACCCTGACATCGAGACATCCTGCAAAACCTGGATCCCTGCATATAGAACCGCACAACCCGGAGACCCCACACCGTCTGCTACATGGAAATCTATCCAACCTAGTTCTGGGTTCCTGACATTCCCCAAGTAGAAGGAAACCTCAACATAGAAATCCCATACCCACACACATACCCGATACTGCATCATCTGTTCCCTGCCACCCAAAGGGCGCTCGAAGGCAGGCGCTTCCTCCTTGAATGGAGCAGCCCGATCCCAGGTTCAGGGTGTGTTGAAGCAGGCTTTGGGGTGTATGGGTGGAATTTAAGGCTTCTAGAATTCAGGGATCGGTTGCAGCTTTGCTCTGTAGGCTTGGAGTTGAACATTTGACTTATCGCCACATTAATCTAGGCTGCCAAAAAATAGACTACTGGACAGGTGCAATTTTTCAAACGGCCAAGGCGGCGTCCCCTACATCATGTGATGATGCTCTGATTGTAACCTAGCGTCTAGTGCCAGCAGGCATTCTCTGAATTACATCAAGCAAAAACATGACTCAATGCGAACATGCAATCAAGCAAAGTCCTACAACGCATGCTATAGCTTGATATGAATTTGTGTTAACTATGCTTGTAGAGGCCGCAACTCGAGTGGTCACTCAACTGACCAAAGACTTGTCCGCCTTGGAGCTCTCGTAGACGAGCGCAGACTGGGAAAGCGGGTCGCCAATCAAGTGATCCATGCCTCATCAAACATGAACGCCCTGGTGACGGCATCATTCCAGATGGTCCTAGCGCTTGCTTTGTTGTCATCATCCTGTAATGATAAGATCAAAGACACACACACACACATGCTACCACCATCTGGGGTGCCGACAGCAATCGCAGGAGATCACACTGTCTTTGCTCCAAAGGTCCTGTCAAAGGGAGCAGCTCTTACAGACTTGCGGTCTTGACTGTTTCAGGACCTCGGGTTTTCAACAAGTGTTATTTGCATGTCACGCGATCAGCTGCTTGTGAACCCTTACATGAGGTCCCTGCTACAGCCACAAATGTCATGTGGCCATGAATGCGGCGGACATCTAGAACGTCTAGCCCTCCTAACGGTCGCACAATAATTTCAAGAAGTTACATGGCACTTTCTTCCAGACATGTACATAATGACACATGACACTGGATGGCGCCAACTACGCTGCCGTTTGGGGTGCCAACATCTGACAAACTGAAGCCAGAATCACACAACCTGAATGAAACCCAAGGCCCCAAGCACTGGCCCACCTTGTCCAGGCAGAAGTTTTCCTGCAACCCGAACTCGGTCCCGCGCTTGACATTGACGTGAATGTACTTGCGCATGGATCCGAAGAAGCCTGTAACTCAGCTCTGCAAAAGGTGCAGGCCTCAAATCTTTGAGGCAGGATAATTGAAATTAAAATGGAAACTACCACAATGGGGTATATAGGGTATTGTATATATAAGGGTTATATTCGGGTTATATGGATATCGATACTTATCTGAAGAGCGGTAGGCAAGAGCCATTAGCAATGTGGATCAGCCTTCCCACAGAATCTGAAGTTGAAACGTCCCCTTAACTTCAGCAAGCAAACCCAGACTCTTCTGTTTCTGCAGGAGCTTCTGACATCCAGCATTATTACAAGTGTTCAGCAAAAATCCTGGCTAAGCTTTCAGATGCGCAGGCTACAAGTACGCTGGCAGACCCAGGAAGATGGCACACCTAGATTCAACACTCGGCAAGTCTCAACAGCCTAGCTGTCCTCAAACGAGTTCACTTTGAGAAGCCAACCCCACGACAGATTTGACGAGAAATGTACAACGAAGGATGAAAAGTTGCTTAGGCTGCCTACTTCACATATCAGTCAAGGTCAAGACACATAGAAGTGAAGTGCCCGAGGGAAAAGCAATTCGACTTTGAGTCCATTGAGCTGACCTAAAACTGCAAATCTTTTTGCCTGCAGGACTTGTGAAACATCTACAAGCACTACTCCAATCGTGGCTTCCTTACACTAGCGCCTGCGACGTACATGAGACTTCCTGGGCCGGGGATTTGTCTCAACGACTCACCTTTTGTTCAATCTTTGCTTGCAAAACATAATTGGAGGCTTAACACGTTGAAAACCTATAAATATGCTGCACCAAAAACAAAATAACAGTAATCAAATCAAATTCAGTCCCCAGAAATGTGTGAGAATTCCTCATCCTCCTCTTCCTCCTGGTTGCTAACACGAACCCAACATTAGTGGCCATGTGTGGGGGAATACCACAAATACGATCATGGCATACTTCTGAAAGCTGAGCACGCAGCAAGCGAGAAGCAACAACGCCGAGCGCGTCCCGAGGAGAAGATACTAAACCATGTTGCTATCTTGTCTGGCCTTGCACCCTCCCAAACACAAGAAGTACAGTAATCAAAAAGACAGGGCTAAAGAAACAACAACAACAAGAATGAATGAATCAGAACAGAAAAATACAAATGAGCACTGCCCGCGGCCTTCGAACTTCTCCCAGACAGTTGCCCTCTCATCTGTGATATCTTCCCGAATTCCCTCCTGCAGCGCTGTTGGCAGGAGCGGCTCGCCTTCTCTGGTTCATCCCTCAGGCCCACATGCTGACAGCTGAATACTAAGCTCCAAATCCCCTAAACATTCAGACTGCAACCTTGCAGCCGGCTATGAGCTGTGGAGTGCTCAGCTGCCGGCCAAGACTACTCAAGGTAAAGTGGTTCCCGTTCAACCGCACAAAGAGCCACAAACTTACAAGCCTCACACACACAGTGAGTCCACGGAATAGTGTGCGCTCAACCCCGAATCTCGTAAAATTATGAGACGAATCGAAAAAGACGAAGACCCCCCAGGTCCTCCGCAGCTGCCTCGCTATCCTTCGGCGGCTCGGCCGTCCTCGGGTCCGCTGGCGACGCTGCTTGGGCAGAGCCCAGAAGGGCCGCGGCTGCCAGTAGCCCTTGGGACTCTCGAATGACAAAGGGCTCCAACTTTTGTGTTTTCAGTTCTGGGGTATGGACTAGAGAATCAAGCCAGAAGGAAACTCTCAAACGAAATGAACATCAAGGTAATGTAGGGACATATGTAGGGCTATATCAGTATAGCGCTGCACCTTTCAAACCAGTTTGGGTTTGGTACAATTCTTGATTTGAGCGTGTCATCCTTGCGCAGGAGCCCTGCTGATCTTTTCTGTGTCGTTTTCATTTTCCGGATGATCAACGAAATAGATCTAAGAAGTGGATCTGGGGGCCGAGGGTTAAGCTCTGAAACTTCCAAGGTCCATTAGAGTTTTGCAACTTACGTGGCGCTGCCTTGCGATAGCAGGCTCTGCGTCTAGGGTTCAGGGTTATGTCTCAGCACGATCATCGTGACAACATGATGAAGCAGTGATGCTTGATAAGTCGGACAGGATCCTGATCGCATACTTGAGGTACCTATCCGTACCGGAGGAAAAGAGGACCACGTTGTCCGGGTCAAGGAGTCGAGGGGCGACATCGGGGTTCAGTAAACTTTGCAGGCCAGACTCACGCAACAAGGCAGAGCATTTAGATTTGTGCCCAGGCATGTCCTTTTCAGCTGCGTCCCCCGCTCATTCAGACCACCTTGCTGGCTTTCGGGGAGACTAGCGACCCCTTGCTGCCTGCAATCCCAACAGCTGACCATTCAGAAAACTACAGAAACTCCTAAGCATCTGCCAGCCAACTGACAGCCTGCGGAAATGAATTTACATCCCAATCAACCCTGGATTCTCTTTGGCAAGGATCTGATATGCATGGGTTCACGAACTCTTTGGCAGGAAAACGAGGGGGCTGGCAGTCTAGAAAGTTGGCTTTCTGGCGCCCTCTTCTGAGCCAAAGAAGCAAAGACGCATGGCACTTGCGTCGTCAAGACTTAATTACATCAAGACCCAAGACTGAACTAGCTCCGTCATATCAAGATAGATCCATTTGTTAGTGGTGTGGAGGAGTTCAGGCACTTGTTGATTCACTGCTCCACGTGCCACTACACCGCAAACTAGTTGCAACCTTTCCGACTCAAGCCGTGCAGACGCGCCTTGAGCCGGACCTCCCGTGGTCCAGGCGGCGCGACCGTGACGTTCTGGCTCGGGTAGCTATCTCCCAAAATTCTACTTACTCTAGCTGCTGGGTTCCCTGGCCACAAAAAAATTGACCGTTTAATACAATACTTTTGTATTTACCCTTGCAAGGTCAAAGGTTATCCACCCAGCTACCAAGTTAGTCTCCACAACTCAGCCTCAAGCTGCAGTGCCAGCTTTGCCGTCCCTTCGAGCGGCTTTTGGTTTGCAGAGAGCCTACTTTGCACCAACAAAATCAGACCTGCATTAGACGTCACAACAAGTCCAAATACCCAGGGGCGGCTCTTGAGGCTCACGAATCCCCTCCCCCTGATATGAACTACTCCCAATATACTATAATACACCACAATGGGAGCATTGAATGTCGGAGGGGGTTAGAGATTTAAGGAAGACAAAGGTATCAAGCCAGGAGTGTTCATGAACCTTGCCTTGGAGGCTTCTCAGAGTGAAGAGGCCCCAGGAAATTTAGGGACATAATGGGATTCTAAGAGGATTAAAAGGGACTCCATTCGGATTCTTGCGCATTATTTTGGAAAACTGACCCTTCATCCCTCTTTGAAGTTGGCGAAGACGATCCTCTTTCCCTCCGGCCCTGACCCTCCTTCCGCACAAGCCTCCCTCGGCCTCCCACTCCTCATGCTTCCCTTCCTGCCCCCTCGCCCTCATCAGACAGACAAAATGAGCACGCACCCATTCCTGTCAAGACCGGCAGCCTGTGCTTTGATCTGCTTTTGGTGGCGATTTTGATTGAAGACAAGGCTGCAAACAAAATCCACCACCCCGACCAAAGAAACAAGACTGACCCTGATAGCTTCCAACCCTCTGGTCTTACAGTCGCGAAGCACCACTACATGCAAACAGACATCAACCCGCAGGCCGAACCTCAACGCGAAGATCGTTGACACCCCGCGCCACTGCAGCCTTCGGGCAGATGAGCGTTCCATGTACGCACGGCAACCTCATCAAGCAAACATGCGCTCATCTCTACGTGTGTTGGCTCCTTCGTCTTGGCATTGACCGCGCCAAACGGCGATCCAGATGATGGCATAATACAATCCAAATGAACTTGCAAAAGAAATGCATAATGCCCTTTGGGCTACTGTGAGATCACAGTTTCTGCCCCGTTGCACCTTAACAGGTGACTTGTTTTTTACAGCTAGGATGCAGCTTTTGGAAAAGATCTGCATAAATTCGAGCAAGACCCTGGTAAAACGCGCTGCACCAGAGCAGCCCTTGTAAGAGGGCAAGTTGAGGGATTCATGGCCACGCCAACATACGCTGTGAAACCCCGGCCTTGCACACGATGGGTTTCCCAGCCGTGGCCACCCCGCGGACAAGGCGCAGGGCCAGCACATTTCGTCGAAAGAGCGCCTCACAAGGTGCTCATGCTGAAACGCAGAAAACTGCTTGGACTGTAGACACTGCAGAAACCTGCCCACACTCCAGCCTACTGAAGCGGTTCCAAACTCAGAGAAAGCAACTTCAGCAAAACTCTGGAATTGAGCACTGCAGCTGCAAACAAGCAGCCCTCATGATGCCGAAGCCCTGCTCTGCAACAGCAGCTTGAGCCCAATCGGTGCAGCGCTGGAGGTTTCGGCATACGTAAGTCCTGCAAACGACAGAGATAACGGGCGGAAACTGTCACATATCTAGCAACCTCTCTTGCAAGCTTACATTCCGTGGTTCTTCCAAGCATGCAAGGGTTTGCCAATCAGTAAGTCATTAGCGTTGACGCTTGGAAGGCCTCTTCTGCGCAGCCGCCGGGCGCTTCAAAACACCCGCGGTGCTCTGGGGGCAACCAACCTTTCTGAGCAAGCCAGGCTTCAAAACGAGAGGCCTGGCCCACCAAATACTCCACCCCTTCCAGCTCTTCCACCAGGAACCAAGGGAGCCCGGATCGCTTGCCCAGCTGCAGGCCCTCCGACCCAGCTACAATTCCCAAGCACAGCGCCGCAATGGAGTCGACGTCTCCGCCCATGTACAGCGAAGTGAGCAGAGCATCCCGTGGACCGCGATGAAAGCGGAGGATGTACAGCACAACCCCTGCCGTCCGCATGGCATCGCTACCAACACCATTCACCTTGGAGGTCCCATCCTCACCGCCCGCTACATGCGCCAAGTCCGGATGAGGCTGCGGACCGCAGAGCAGCGCATGAACATTCTCCGGCATGCTTTGCAGCCTCTGTCCGAAGGAGTGGTAGTCAGGCAGCTCACGAATCCTCCGCAGCATGAAGGGCTGCATGCATTTTTGAATGTTATGCTTAGCCGATCATAGGGGGTGCTCTAGAGCAAGTTGAGGGTGAGGCATGATGAGGGTCTTAGACGGTCAAAGTTCTGGAGAGGACCCCAGACAAAGGGGCACCTCAATTTCAAGATCTGTTTTGTGGAACAGGCCTGTCCTTTGAAGCAGGGAGGCTGTTTCCTCATGTCTCAGATCACTGGCCTGCAGCCGCTCCAAGGCCACTTCCAAAATGCAGCTCTTGTCCCCCCTCTCAACAATGAGCCAGCGTGCTGCTTGAGCGACAAGGAAGCTCGCAGCACGGGCCTTCGGATGCGGATGTGTGGCATCAGCATTGGAACGACAAAGCTTCTCGCAGGAGGCCCTGTCAACAAAGGCCAGTGGCAGCGCCCGCATTGGGGGAGCATTTCCAGGGTCCACCCGAGTCGCCTGCGAGTCTCTTAGTTCTGCCAAAGTCGCCTTTCCGCGGAAGAAGCCTTTCACACTACCATGACCACTACGCTCTCCACCGGCAACAGCTGGCGGGGGGCGACGCTTGGCAAGCTCCCATTCTAAACGCCAGGCGGTAAGCATCTCATCTTCTGCTGCATCAGTACCATGTTCCACCAAGGCCCTCATCAGCCCGACCGTCATCTCACAGTCATCAGAATACATGCCGCGGATGCTGTTGAACTTGTGCTCATCAGGTTTGACCGGATTCTCTGGCCAGCTAGTGCAGCGGGTCACATGTTCCCGAAGCCAGTGTGCATCCTGCATCTCCACCCCAAATCCAAAAGCATCTCCTATAGCATCCCCAATCAAGAGCTGCGTCACGGGCCCAGCCGAAGCCAGCAGAGCATGTCGAGCTGCTTTGGCTCGCTGGTCCAGTGCGAACTGAGGCACTGAGACTGCAGAAACATCTCCGCACTCTGCCATCAAGGTACGATGGCCGGCAACATGGAGGTCTTTGGGTGGAAGAAACTCCAGTCAAGCCCTGAAGGCTCTGTCAAGGAACAAACGAACACGTTTGCATCATGCAAGTCCGCAAAACACTTCCTGTTCTCCCTCAACTCATGCCTGAATGGCCTGAAGAATCTTCCTACTGAACGCACCATGACACAATAGCTTGGGACCCTGGAGCTGGACTGCAGAAGCAACCCTCTCCATGGCAGAGGCCATAGGCGCATTGGTCGTCACAACCTCCGGGACCAGCATGCAATCAAAAAAAGGATCCATGAGAAGATGTGTGCGGTAGACTTCTGGGAACCGTTGGCTTTTACCATGCCATGAATGGAAACAGCAAAGCAACATGCCTCAGCTTCATGAATGCCTGCTGGTCAACATATGCTTACTCGGTTATCAAGATGTGACTCTTTGCTATAGAGTTGCCTGCCTACACTAGCGCCTACACTCCATCCCCGAACGTTTTATGACGAAGCAGTCAGGTACTTGAAGCTGGCACGCTGCTTTGGCCTTATCCAGAACAATGCCCATGATGATGGTGGTGGCTCCCAGGTACTGCAACACATGGTACTGCTTCCGGAGCAGGAGCACCTGGCAGCAACAGAAGCAAATGCTCTGGACATGTAGGCTTCGCCTACAGTGGCCGGACAGTCTTCACAGGGTCCCGCCCAGAAGAACAACTGGAACAAACTGTTCCCTGCTGATGCTGCAAGCTCTCCAAACAGCAATGGTGCAAGCGAGTGTGGGAGCACGGACAGCATCATCGTCACCGGAATGACCGCCTGAAATTCCACAAGCGGGCGCATGCGGCTGAAGAGGAGCATGGGAGTCCAGCATAATGATACACTGGTTGTAGTGAAGAGACCTTGTCTAATGCCTTTTGGCACAATTATTCCATTTCCGGCCATTGCTTACAAGACCATGTTTAAGGTGTTCTGTTTTTGGGACCCGAAGAATAAGGGAAGCTGCATTTTTGAGGCCCCAAGAAAAAGACCCTCTAAAATCCTTTCCCAACTCATCCCTCAATGCTTGAAGGCAAAATACCAAATCCAGTTTCATCTAAATCCTTATTGAGGGGGCCTTATTGAAGGTCCCGCTTTCCTGCTCTATTTCTAAATTCTAATTTTTTATGACCCTGACCCTCAAAATTGGTATTGGGGGGGGGCCTTAATTACAACCCCATGCAACATTGCCGACCAGAGTTTCTTGTGGGAACTGCCCGGACCCTACACACCATCACACACAAACGTCTTGACACGGCCAAATAGCAACAATCGGTCTGCAACATCGTGTGAGCTCGCATGCAACATGTGCCCTGAGCTTGCCTGGCCCAACAGCACTTGCAGGGTGCCAGAAGTGTGTACCCCTCCAAGAACCTCAGCAACAGCATGGACAAGAAATCAAGCCATTGGTCAAAATGACAACAGAACGTGAACGAGATCGACCTGAGGCTTTAGACCATGAAGGTTCCACTGAGGCCATCGAAGACTCCCATCAATGCAAACTTTCGAACCTGTCATGGAGAATATGGCGCCATGGTGCCAACAATGCCATGTGCATATCTTGGGCCCGCACAAGTTGCAAGTCTACCTAGCCGGGCTTAGGTATAACGCACCAGCAGGCAACAACCACTACAAAACCAAAATAAGCAAACCGGCCTGTTGCGTGATGCCGGTGCCGGCCAACGTTGCGAACAACGGTACATAAATCAGTGTGGAAAGCTGCGTCAAATACCATCCTTGGCAGGTCCGCGTCGCGAGGACGAATGTCATGGGTAATGCAACACATCCCCCACACACAAAGAACTCAAAGTTGCGGGCCGTAGTTGGGCATGGCCGACGTCATCCGCTTGAAAAAGACCTGAAACACATTGCACACTGTTAAGGAACTGCTGTCAATATTGTTTTTGGCAAGGATGGTAGACTGAGTGCGTCGCAGTGTTCCCAACAGATGCCACTAACAAGCAGACCTCATGGACAACACACAGTCAAAGCCTGAAGCTACGCAGTTCGATGCATTGCCAAATGACTACCCAATATGCACGAGCATCGCACTGTGTACAAGAGTAGCCGCCATTTGCGCAGCCACCAATCCATGTATGGATTGCGCTGGCGACTGGTGGGCTCCTTCCACACCATTCATCATGCATGACAAGGCGCATGATCAGTGAAGTCAATATCCGAACATTGCACGAACCTCTTCAGGCGAGGGCTTCGTCCGCAACAATGGAGAGGACAATCCATTTTCGCGGTCGTTGGGCATCTTGCCCTGCACACGACAAATCGCGCCTAACTTCCAGAAGTATAACCTGGCAACTGTTTGTTGATGTCGTCGCTTGCCTACTAGTGGCGGCCGTGAAAATGATGCAGCGGACCGCGGCCGTTGCCCCCCCTCTAGAGGTCGCACGCCGTTCCGCTGTGAACATAACAGCTATGGGCGTCATGCAGAGCTGTGATGTCACATGGTGCAAAACCATGAATGCATCAACGCATGCCGAAACGATTCATCCAAAACTCAACATTAGGCATCTTTTCTCAGGGCACGCTTGTTTTTGCCTCTGGTTCCAACAACACCATGACAAGGTTGGACGCGTGGATTATGGACGCATCAGGATGACATCGGAACACACCATGACAACATCCATTTGTTCATTGCCCAAGCCCAAGCATCTCCAGCTTATCGCTTCGAATTGCAAGCAGCAAAATTCTCTGATCTAGCAAATCCTCCCAAAGCATGGCAGGCGACAAGCGGGATGGTAAGGGCACATACTACGCCTATAGAACACAAGGCTTCACCTGCAAACGAATCAGGCTCATGCACACTGGTTGCGGGTTCAAGTGGTGATGGTGGCATTGCTTATGGCAACCATGGGTACAGCTCTGTCATCTACAGGTTCCAAGGGGGTGATTTGCTAGTTGCTTCCTGGAAAATGCACGCTGGCGACATGGAACTTGCAGTGGCGAATTTGTTCCCCTCACCGTTTCGTGCAGCATGTCCAGATATGAACACATGTCCTCCCAGATGGGAAAACATGTCCTCCCAGGTTGCTCGCCCGTGCGCCACACGAGGGGGCCCGAACAGGCGGACGAACCGCGCCGCCTCGCGGGACCCACCGCTCCACCCTGATGCCGAACATGACTTGCCGGCACCGGCGTGCCTGGTCAACCTGAATGTAGGCATGGTGACCCCCTTTTTCTGCTGCGCGGCATGCTCGGTATCAACCCTCAACCGCGGCTACATGAACCCTTCGTTCTTAATGGTAAGGGCGACCACAAACAGCGACCATGACAGTAACAGCCACTGAAATTCTGATCCCAAGGGACACTTCACAAGGACCCAGTGATGGAACCGACATCTTCAGGGCTCAGCCGCCGTCCCAGATCCAAACCCACGGACGGGAGCGGGCAGTCCACCCGTCCGGGAGGGGGAGCGTGGCCATCTTCGTAAGTGTAGTTGCGTTCGGACGTGTTTGGACCTTGGTGTCTGCGTCGCGCGTCCGGCGTGTCCACAATCATAGGCATGGGGCTTCTGTGGGTCGCCATCGTCTTGTTTTTTTTCCCCCGCACCTCTGTAGTGCAGACTACGGCCGGGGCCCGGAACGTTAGTACGGATCCCAGCCAGCCGGCTGACGGGGACGTGGAGCATGTGGAGCCACCAGCGGTCGTCCGCCAGGACATCGCGCTGAAGTCCTGGGTGTGCAGGACATCGTGCTGAGGTCCCAAATGTCCTCGGCCACATTGCACGTCCCGGCCAAGAGACCTCCAGCAGCAAAGGCGCATTGCGCACCCCCAGCAGGCAGGACCGTGTGGCAAACTTGTCGCGTCACACCGGGCTGTGCTTGCACGGAACCATGCCACTAGCCGCAGCCGAGTGGTGGTCTCCACCGCAAACCGGCCTCCAACCTTTTGCCCCTTTCACGTTACTGAATCTGGTTACCTCCTCCCCGTACAATAACCGCAACCACCTCTCTTTGTCTTTCTGTGCGGTCAAACAGCCTGCTCTTCCTGGGCCCTGGCATTACTTGGTCTGGTACCTTTTTTCTACAACAGTAACCGAAACCACCGTTTCTCGTTCGTGTACGCTCAGCTCATTGTTCTGCCGGCGCAATAGGTAAAACCACCGATATTGTTTCTGGTGCCGACACCCAACCCCTACCAAATGCAGCTTGGCCTTCTACTTGAACTTTTGTCATTTGTTTTTCCCCACCCTCGCTGTGGGGCTGTTAGATTTTAATTCCCCACCCTTGCAGTGGGGTTG